GGTGTGCGGGGTGAACTTGGGGCGGTGTGCGGCTTTTATTTCTAGGAAAAAAAATTTGCCGAGTGTTGTAGATCTAGCACTCGGCAAAGGGTTTTTTTATTTTTTTCTTCTCCTTCTTTTCTAGAAAAAATATTTTATATTTCTTTGCCGAGTGTCGTAGATCTAGCACTCGGCAATGATTTTTTTTTTATTTTTTTTCTTCTCCTTCTTTTCCAGAAATAATATTTTATTTCTTTGCCGAATGTTTTTTGACACTCGACAAATCTGCTCTTTGCCGAGTGTTTTTTTACACTCGGCAAACCCCCTATTTTGCCGACTGTTTTTTTTTGCCAAGTGTTTTTAGCGCAGCACTCGGCAAATCACTTATTCGTTGAGTGCCAGAGGGAATACACTTGGCAAACATAAAAACACTCGGCAAAGAGCAGGATTCCGGTAGTGAAGGGACTGATGATGACTAATTGTCTATGCAATGTAAGCTAGAATATGTTTAGATTATCTATCAATACTGATAGGGGCATCCCTACCCCACCTTATATAGCACGGGGTTAGGGTTATAAGGATATCGATCAGTTTATAGATATATTTCGTAGCCGGTTACAAGGAAATCTACAACAGGATAACTACCACATCTTGTAGAAGTGTGGTGTCCAAGCTTTCTACATTAGGTTACTTGTCCACCGCGTCTGATGATGGACCTTGGTTCGGGTGGACCTCATCTTTGTCAGCTTCGGCCCATCCCGATGGCAATGGGCTCATATTCAGAGGGTGAGGTACCCTGGGTCCATATCACTGACAATAGCCCCCAAAGGACTTGATGAAGAGCCAGTCAAATGACTCAATCCTTCGGGTGCTAGTGCCGAAGGTCCGCTTGTTGATGCTCCCAAAGTTTCGACGCTCCCAATGGCTCGATCCTCCAGGTGTCTGTACGCGAGCGCACCTGAAAGGTTCTTGTTAGGTTTTGGTAATTGAGTGACAACCTTAGGTGGACTAATATGAGTTTGAGTGAGATATACAGGTGATTAGCCCACAAGTATATCATGTGTGAGCAACCTATGCCATGGAGGTGAAATGGCTTGGATATGTTGCAAGGCTCACACATGTGATGAAGGAGCACATTGCATATGAGACATGACATGGAGTCATGTGACTAAGGTGGAGAAGATCAAGACAAGACTTGGCTTGATGTACCAGTTGCAAGCGTGAAGGGCAAGTTGGAGGCTTTGGAGCGATGGACCACGTGGCGGTGAAGCTTGAGCAAGACTTGGCGTCGATGGACGAAGGCAACAACGAAGAGCAAGTGAAGTCAATATCAATGAACCAATACGGTCATGTGATGATATTAAGTGGATCATATCATTTGTGATTGGTTGGTGCATGTGTTGCATCAACATCGGAGGAGATGGAATGGAATGCGCAAGGCAAAGGTATATTTATATGGCATTTCATTTCACCGGTCATAGGTGTGTAGAGAAGTTTTTGACCAGGTTTAGGATAGATGGCTGTACTATCAAGAGGGGAAAACTTGTTTGCATATCGGTCATCTAGTGCCACTTGAGTGATCTAACTTTGCATCGTTGCTAGGATCGAGTGGCGTGGTGATTTGAGTGACTAATCCTTTGAAAAATATTTGTGAAAAGCTAACACACATGCACAAGATGGTGCACACTTGGTGGTGTTGGCACATTTGAAAAGGAGAAGTTGTTGGAGTTGATTTGGATCAACTTGGTGAAGTTGGAGAAGAAAAGAGCAAGTTTGTGTTGTCCGAGGGTCGAAAAACGCAACCAAATTTGTAGCCAACGCGTAGCACTTCCTGGGCGGTGGCACCGCCCTTTCCGGTGTGCTTTGTGCTTTTACATTACTAGTATGTGTAGGAGCTCCCTGGTTGCCAAAGTACTAGTGCATCGGTTTGTGTGACCTTGCTCTAGAATTAATTAGGTGAGCTCTATCTGGCCCTGCACCTTTGTTGCCTAATCTTTGTAAGGTGCTTGATAACTTAGATAGAGGGGTATAGTCTTGGCTAGACCAATAGTCTTAATTCTGTATTTGTTTCGGTTAGCCGGCACGTTCAATTTTAGAAAGGACTATTCAACCCCCCTCTAGTTCGTCATCTCGACCCTACAGCGCCCTTCGTTTTCCAATTATTGTGTGCCATTAAGTCCTATGATAGATAAGGATGAATGAGTCAGGGAGTCCGAAGCGTCTCATCTTCCTCGCGCGATCAGTTACGCGCGTGACTCGCGTGAGTCACATATCATGGTTGTTGGTTTCTCTTTCTCCTTCTTCAAGGTGGGGCTATTTAAGCCAAGGTAGGAGACACCTCTTGGCTCACTTCAACCCACTTCCTCCTTGAACTCCTTAGATCCAGACAGAGCTCCTTAGCCAATCGTCTGTTGTCATGGAGTCCCTCTCCTCCAGCGCCCTCGACAACGACAGCGGCACTGGGAGAAGGCCACCAGCAGCTGGGTGCAATGATGGCTGCTCTTCCTAGGTGCTAGTGGAAGGTTTGCAAAGATAAGGGGGAACGTCGCCATTGGTTGCCCGAGGGTACTTATTACGCTTTGTGATCAGGGCTCCCGAGGCGGTGCAGCCATGGCAGGCATCATCGAGGCTGCTGGGATGCTAACAGTTATATTATCATCGAAGCATCTACGGTGGCCCTCAACAAGTGGAGCAAACTGCGGTGTGGTGACATTCTTTTTGTCAACACACCAAAGTGATGTGTGCCCTACACAGCCACTGGTGCCGGTTCATCAGCTTTGGCACCAGGCGATCCTCCTTCCTCTGGAGCAGCGAGGACGGCCCACACCTCTCTTATGCTTCCGCTGAACACTATCACTATCACTCAATGTGTTGTGTTGTACTATTGTGGGTGGATTTTTTTTTTAATTTCTAGCTAGCGAGCTGGGGCACAAGTACAGTTTACTTTAGTGGACCCTTCTTAATCGATGGGTATGCACCCCTGCCTGCCTGCCCTCAACTCTCTCTGCCTTATTTTCAGAATGACTGCTGCTTGTTCAACAATTTTAATTTCACTGAGACAACTTTATAGCACGTGTTGCACTTTAATCATATGTATGTATGGGAAAAATATGACTTCACACCATGCAATTTTTGTACCACTCGCAATAGTGCTTCGTACTGGCCTGATAATAGTTCAGATCGAAATCCAAAAGTTTGGATCCGAACATGGTTTTTTTTGTTCGTCGGAAGTTCCAATGTAGGATGAACCCAGGAAACCAACATGGAGATGAGTCGGAGCTTCCGACATTGGAGCATCTTCTCGGGAGCATAATTTCTCCATCCAGACTCGAAACTGAACATTCCATATATATATATATATATATATATATATATGTTTTTTTACCATGTTGATGAGAGGAATGCAATGGTGAAGTCCAATCTACATTTTGACAACTTCACAAAATGGACTATTTTGGTTGTCAACATGACGTATAGCGGTGGTCGTAGCTCAACAATGCATCGCGGTTGTCGTCGACACGCTCGACTTCAGCGCTACACACCCACGCCTATCCTAGGAAGCACGGTGGAGATTTTGGCGGGCACGATGATCAGCAGAAAGGTGACTACGATCCTCTCAGACTTCCATCTCTTGGATCAGGACACTCGTCGGAGCCAGCAGTAGCGGCAGCGGCGCTCGACGAGGACGTCATGGTTTAAACCGCTCAAACCGTCGGAACCAAACCACCTAACTCGTCATCGTACAGGTTGGTTTTGAAAACCAGCTAAACCCGTCGTTGAGCATGCCTACATACGGTAACCAAGACCTCAATATATAAACAGGAACGATAACAAAGATCTTTTCAGGAAGGTACATCCTTTTCCCAGCTAGGCCAATGTTAGTCAAATAAAGTCTGTAAACATATTATAATATAACCATCTCATGGACATTCTTCTAGCACCCAAATAGGATCTCGGATGTGCCAGAGCATGTCGGAGGGGTAGAGATCGAAGTCATTAGGGCTGCGAGCAATGATGAGCCAATGCCACTGGCTCAGCGTAGCCCAACACACCGACCGGATCACGCTAGCATTCACGAACATTCTTCTAGTACCTCTCGTACACCATCTTAACTAGGAATATAAGGTGTATGTGGAGGGATTTTTCCCACTGAGAGTATATACTGAGACTACAAATGGTGAAGCAATGATTACATATTGGATTGGTGTAGGACTACAAGCTCCAAGTCACCTCATTTGTCCATGGGGAGTGGAGGTATCTACTGCATCTGGACGGCATGTATAACTAGAACCAAAGGTGGTAGCTGAATCCGATGGTGGAAAACAAAGTAACAGGTGGTAAGGTGGATCCAGCGGTCCTTAACATTGTCGAGTCAACCCAAAACCCTACAACGATACCATTATGACGCTGCTGAATCAAGCCACGACCTGGTATTAGCATGTCACTGCCAGCTGGTGGCCTAAACTGGAAGCAATATCCCAACTAGAACTGTAGGTTGGTGGCCTAAACTGGAAGCAATATCCCAACTAGAACAGTCGGTTGGTGGATGTAATTAACTGGGACATTGTCGGGTTATGCCTGCACTCATAACAGTGATAGGTGTCTTAAGTGTTGGGTCTGTCGAATCGACAAGCATTAATCGAATCCTAGCCTTACGAGCCGTTAGTGAAGATAAATCACTGTCGGCTCCAACATACCCAACAGTGATGTGCTGTTAGGCCGGGATTGCCTGTCCTGTTGCAGTGAACACCGATCATTTAGCATCTAGCATATGCAGAGAAACACTTCCTATATGTATGTACGGACATAGTGATGATATAAAAAATATTGTTGTGTATGTAATATTGTAATGTCACTTCTAAACTAGAGGTAGAGGCTCATGAGACTATCATTATTATATTGTTAATATTATTAGACTACCGAATGAACACGCACACGACCGACTGCAATAGAAGCAAGCAGCATGCACACTAGACCAGAGAGCAACGTACCAATGGATATGGAAATAAACAACAAATAAATCAATATGGCTGACGACGCAATATTATGGCTTTCGGATCCCACCCAGGCATCGTAACTTTCTTGTCTTGGTATTCTTGTTCCCGCTTTTGGTCGTCCAGATCGTCGTCCCCTTGTTCTTTTTCTGGCATTTGAAGCTTGTCTGCCAAGGTCTTGGCCCCCTGGAGCGAGATGAGGAGCCAGACATAGGAGAGGAACTCTCCGCCTTCTCCCAAGCTCTTGGCGTGCAGGTAGCCCCTGCACCTGCTAGCGGAGTAGCAGAGCATGCCCACCCACATGCGGTGCATCAAATGCCAACGGTCATTGTCGTCCTCAATGCGCAACAGTTCCTCTGCGAGCTTGCAAGCGTCGTCGATGACGGTGTACGCCTGCTCATGTTTGAGGCTGGCTGCTTTGTTCTTGATCTTGTCTAGGAGGATTCTGTCAAAGTCCGGGTGCTGCCTCTCATTTTCTGTGGTGGCTAGGGTGATGATGCGCTCCATGTGTCGCGTGGCTTCAGTGAACAAATGCTGCGTGCTGCCGGTCATCAGCATGTCGGGTCTAAACGTGAGGAGGTAGGCCATGTAGTTGGATATTGCCTCTGTGCACACCTCACGAAGCACCTCGCCATGCAGAGGCCTGCACCTGAAGTGCATTGGAGGCTTCTTGCGGAAGCAGAGGTTGGTGGCGATGTGCCAGATGAGGACGCTCGTGTCGAATGGCGTTTTACGAAGGCTGCGCCATATCGCCTTGTTAAATGGTTGAGAGGTCTGCGGCGGCAATGGCGGCTGATTTCTGTTACCAGTCTTCGGCTGATCTTGATCATCAGTCGAAACGGCGGCGGTGTTGTCCATCTCCAGGCGTTGCTGATCTTGATCATCAGTCGAAACGGCGGCGGTCTTGTCCATCTTCAGGCGTTGCTGATCTTGATCATCAGTCGAAACGGCGGCGGAGCTGTCCATCTTCTTCTTTGGCTTATGATCATCCAACTTGGAGTAATAGTCCGTGTTGAGCAGCCTCTCCGTTTGGTCCTTAGTCCAGTAGTCCGTCTTGGTGAAGCTTCTGTAACTGGCGAGGTCGACGTTCTTGACTTCGAAAACCTTCACGAGCTGTAGGGCGATAGCATCCGAGACCGGGCGGTACAGCTTACTAACATGATATGTGCCGGCTTCGGCTTTCTTGTAATAATAACCGAAGCGCCTGGCACAGTTGAGCAGCGACCCGGCCACCGGCCGTCTCACCGCCCGGAGAACCGAGTCGACGAGGCTCTGCCCTGGAATGTTCTCGCACAAGGCTGCGAGTTTTGTTTTGGACACGAGCTTGTACATGAGCTCACTGATGAGCAGCCCAAAGACATCCAGCACCGCGGTGAAGCATAGGAGGATGTACGTGATATTCACGTCGGTGGCTCCGTACCCACGCTTGCGGCTCGCCGCGAAGAGCATGATGGCGGCGACGTACATCAACGGGACCAGCATCACGTGGCAGGCCAGGTACGCCGGCGTCAAGATCACGTTGGCTCTGGTGTAGATGAGCCCGAACGCCTGACGAAGCATGCGCTTGAGCCTGACGTCTTTGTCTACGTCGAGAGGCTCCAGGATTTTCAGATCGCCCTTGTTCCGTTCCTGCAGGGTGACCTCGGCAGCGAACAGCGACAGGTCCGACATGATCATCTGAACCTGGTCGCTCTGCGACAGGATCGGCGCGTCGCCTTCCGGCAGCTTTTTCCAGCACTTGTACCTGTCGCTGAGCTCGGTGAAGCACCAGTCCCACCCTGTGGGGCTCTCCCTCTTCCCTTTCATCACGGACCACATGGCCACCAGCCGCTTGATGCTGGCCCTCCGCAGAGCCCACGGCTTCTCGATGAAGCTGATGATGCCGATGACGAACAGCAGGATCGCCGACAACAGCAGCTTCCTGTCGCTCGAGTCCGGCCACGACTTGTAGGAGGAGTACACGGCGACCGTGACCTGGGAGACCATGGTCACGGTTTGCCGTGTCCACAACTCGTTGTCCTCGATGGTGTAGGCGGTGATCTCCTCCCGCCCGCCGAGGTAGACGAGGAGGAGAGGCGCCCACAGGACCTCCAGGGAGCTCCCTTTGTTCCCGTAGTCACAGCAGCTGCAGCTGCTGATGCTGCTGCTCGCCTTGGAATGGCGATTGAAGAGGGTGGCGAGCGCGTAGATCGCCAGAGCATCGGCGCTCACGTACGCCGCCCAGATGGAGCATCTGAACAAGCGAGCGATGGCGTAGTTGCGCATGGGGGCTGCCAGCAGGAGGAACCACTGCAGGCCCAGGCTGCCGATGACGAGGATGCGCAGCTGCCACTCGTCCCACCATTGCACAGCTCTCAAGATGTCAACCATGTCTCTGGGACGATCTCCCCAAGTAGCAGCTTAATTAGCTCTTAATTGATGTAGTGATGTATCTATATATGTCTATTTTTGGGAGTGTCACTACCACCACTCAAGTCTCTCTCTCTCCCTTTTTTTTTGGTGTTTGTGTGTCACTGCCCTGATGTTAGACCTATACCGATCAGTAGTGTTTATAATGCATGCGTGTTGGGTGTTGCCTTACAATGCAATCATGTGTGCCTTCCATTCAACAGTGGAATAAACATTTAAATATCCTTACTTTTATTTCTATTATTAGTATCACACGCTTTGTCAAAAACAAAAGAAAAAAAGGAAAAGAAGAAGAGAAAAAAGCCGTCACACTCTCTTCTTGCTACTAGAACTTTGCTTCTATGTATATGTTGCTTCGATCTTGCTGCCCGGCCCTCTGTTGTCCGTGGCAATATTCCAAAGTGCTAACGTATTAGAGAAGAAATACACCTGCTTTGTTGTCAGTTATTCCAACTTTCCCGCCTTTGATGTTCTTCCTTCCTTTCGTGATGGTCACAGTATTAATCGTCGTCCAACCGCGCGCCACAATGGCACTCTGATATACAGTAATTAATTATTTGACCAACAGATCGATCTACCAGCAGTCAACTTATATGCTTACAGTTTTCCCTTATAATACAGTATTGCATGCAAGGCTTGTTTGGATGGAAACTAAACAGGGCAGACATTGCCTTTCCTGGCCAGGTAAAATTTTGGGCCACTATCCAAACAACCCTGCAATGTCTTCAATTCAACAGTCGAAAGAAGAATATTAGTCATGCAAAGACTGCAATTTAGTTAACAGTCGAACGGACATTAATTCAGTTCTCCCACTGTTGGGATAACATTCTGCTTTAATTTGGTGTGTACTTTAATCATGTGTGGGAATAATGTGACTTTAAAATCATGCATTTTGTATCGCACACAATACTCCCTGTCCAATGTCCATGCAAAGACTCAGGCTTAGTTAACAGTCGAACCAACATTCACCTCCACTGTTGGGATTATATTCTGTGCTTTGGCGTCACCTTATCAAGACAAAACAAAAGGAGAGAGAGAGAGAGAGAGACAAAGAAAAAAAACTATACTCTCGATCTCTAGTGTGCACTTTGCGTGCTCATCATAATATTCTATGCCCTACTTGTTAGCCTAATGATAGATCTAGATGCTCTATATCACTGCACCATGCATAGTCACAAAACAGCAACTAGTTGCCTAAGTGTAAATGGCATGGCAACCAAGATGGGGAAGGAGGGCACAATCTTTATTCAGCGCCCACACTACTTCATTGTTCTCAACGCATGATTTCTAACTCTGACTCCGATTAGTTTCCTTGAAAAACTGATTGAATTTTCTTTTTCTCCCATTAATATATTAATATATTAATATATCTTCTAATTTCCTTGTATGTCAGTTTTTAATCTCTCTTTCCTTACATGAACAAACATTTAAGTATCCCTACTTTATTTCTATTATTAGTATCAAACACTTTGTCAAAAATAGAAGTGAAAAAAAAAGAAAAGAAGAAAAGAGAAAAGCCGTCACACTCTCTACTCTCTAGCTAGTCTTGATCTAGTGTAGCTACTACAACTTTGTTTCTATGTGTTGCTTCTTGCTGCCCGGCCCTTTGATGTCCGTGGCAATATTCCAAAGTGCTAACGTATTAGAGACGAAATATACCTGCTTTGTTGTCAGTTATTCCTGTCTCTGAACTTTCCCGCCTTTGATGTTCTTCACCCTTTCGTGATGGTCACAGTATTTATCGTCCAACCGCGCGCCACAATTGCACTCAAATATGCAGTAATTAACTATTTTACCAACAGATCGATCTACCAGCAGTCAACTTCTCGTAGACAAAAGCTAAGAATGACTGCACACTACTTGTATGTTTACAGTTTTCCCTTATAATACAGTATTGCATGCAAGGCTTGTTTGGATGGAAACTAAACAGGGCAGGCATTGCCTGGCCAGGTAAAATTTTGGGCCACTATATATTCAAACTGTTAGACTGATAGGATCAACTAGGGATAGATCGGTCGGTGATTTCTCTTACATTCGGAATGAACAAGTAAATCGTCCTAGAGAGAGAACTAGAGGGAGAGAGAGGAATGTAGAGAGGCAGACCATCGGGCTTGGTGGAGGAGGTGGCCATGGCGACGGTGTTCGGTGACGGCGGCGGCCCGTCGGTGAAGTCTAGTGACGACGGTCCAGTGGCGGCGGTGTCCCGGCAGCGGCGAAGGCGGTGGCTCTTCCCGTCGCTGTCAGCGCTCCCCTCTAGATCGGATTAGGGTTGTAGGTGGGGTTCTTTGGACGGCGGCGAACCTCGTACCTTGAGCCCCCCGGCCCCACTTTCTCTTTATAGCGCTGCGTGACGGGGTGCCACCAGTCATGTGTGCGGCTGGGTGCTCCCGATCAGGGCGCGAGTCAAGGTCCAACTCGGTCGTTGGACCAAGCCGGTATAGATCAATCTAACACAAACAACCCCGCAATGTCTTCAATTCAACCGTGGAAAGAATATATTTAGTCACAAGTGCTCCAATTCTCATTAGATAGCGTAGCCCTTCCAAAATTTCAGAGACAAAAAACAAAGAAAGCTAAGCGAAATCCCTGAGATATATGGTTTAATCCTTAACGTGCGACTCTTCTGAGTTTTCTTGTGTAAAACTGCATGCGTTCTCCTTAAGCGATATACTTGTGTGCCCATGCTGAATTTTTCAAAAGAAAAAGGATCTATACAAAGATTAAAGTGGAAAAGTCTTTGCATTCGCTGCCCTTTGCGTGTCATGGTAATATTCTAAGTTCTCACGTGTTACAGATGCCCTGCTTTAATTTACTTTTGTTTTTTGAATAAACTAACATTGTCAGTGCATAAATCTATTGATATACAAGAAAATATATATAAGCAAGTAATGTGGGAGGCTATCTGTTGTGGATTTGGCGGCACTGTGAGTAATTAGAATGTTAACAGCCAATTTCATCAGTGTCATTAGAAACTTTATGACTTCTCTGTGTGCTATTAAAATTGTTGAATTTTCTTATCAGCCATTGCCCAAAAAAAAATATCCCCTGTATGCCACTTTCAACGTTTTTCTATTAAGGTTGAGTTAAGTTACTTCTGAATATAAGCATTCCCCTACAGTGCAATGAAGTAAAAATTTGAGGTCACCATTGTGCGGCAACAATCACGGCTACAAGGATATACGCGCGCGTGCTCACAAGGAATGATTTGCTCAACAGGGAATTGAATTACTCTGGCAAACACGTGGCAATGGCATATCCAATATTAATTCATGTGATGTGATCCCCACGAAATGAAAATTTGGACTGGGCAGGCTGCACTTGCTGGATCGTGCAAACGGTTATATATTCTTTAAATTGGATTAGGCCTCAACTGATTGCTTTGACTATGAGTGAATCTTGTTAAGATATGTAACACATGTTCATTGAATCGTCCACGTATCGGATTATTTGAGTTAGTTCGCAGATTTGATTTATCCTGTAACATACTACATACTCCATCCTATAAAAAGAGTTGCTATGGAACTCGTACTAGTCATAGCAATATTCGTATTTCCAAATAAGTTTATTATGAAAATATATTCGATGAATCTATTCCATTTATGTACCATAAATGCTAATATTTTATTATATATATTTGGTCAGAGTAAAAAATCTTTAAATTTTTGGGAAAACGAGAATGACACTTTTTATGGGATGGATGGAGTGGACGAAAGTCAGACGGGAGTAAATAGGAAACTAGAGTTATGGCGATAGACCCTTGAGTGTAAAGGTTTTAGATTAAGCAGAACTAAAACCGAATACATGAGATGTGATTTTAGCGGAGTTGTACAGGAGGAGGGAGATGTAAGTTTGGAAGGTCAAGTAGTGCCTAAAAAGGATATCTTTCGGTATTTGAGATCGATGCTACAGAGGGATGGAGATATTGATGCGGACGTTAGCCATATAATCAAAGTAGGGTGGATCAAGTGGCGACAAGCTTCTGGCATTCTCTGTGATAAGAGGGTACCACAAAAGTTAAAAGGCAAGTTCTATAGAACGGCGATTAGACCGGCTATGTTATGTGGAGCAGAATGTTGGCCTACAAAGATTCGACATGTTCAACAACTAAGTATTGCAGAAATGCGTATGTTGTGATAGATTTGCGGTCATACAAGAATGGACCGAGTTCGGAACGATGATATACGTGATCGCCTAGAGGTAGCACCAATTGAAGAAAAGCTTGTCCAACATCGGTTGAGGTGGTTTGGCCATATCTAAAGGAGATTTCCAGATGCACCAGTGCATTGTGAAGTCCTAAGCCAAGCTAATAATATAAAGAGAGATAGAGGAAGACCGAAATTGACATAGGAGAGACAATAAAAAGATATTTGAAAGCTTGGAATATACCTAGAGATCTATATTTAAATAGAAGTGCTTAGAAAGCAGCTATTGCAGTGCCTGAACCATGACTTAGGGCTCTTGGGTGGGTTTCAACTCTATCCTACCCTAACTTGCTTGAGACTGAAAGGCTATGTTGTGGTCGTTGTTGTTATTGTTGTTGTTGTTGATGGAGTACTACTCTTGTCTGGCTCTGGTTGTCGTTATCCACTAGTACATGAAATGGCCCTGTTCGGCTTACTCTATATTCGGCTTGTTCGGTTTCTTTTTTCAGCCGGAATAGTGTTTTTCTCTCACAATAATTCAGTCGGAACAGTGTTTTTCAGACAGTTTCAGCCAAGTTTCAGACCAACGAACGGAGCCATATAGGTAAACGCCACAATAAGAGATGTTTCTTAACTGAATTAGCAAGCAGCAAGGCACTGCGACAACCAAGATACGGGCTCGGTGTTCCACGCCATTCGATACGCCTCTGACAAACTTAAAACTCTATCTTGCCCTGATGCTCTCCTTGTTAGTTTAATCTATACTCTACAGCCAAAAGTAATTTATTTGCCATCGACGACTCCACCTAACTAAAGTTT